TAATTTATATTAATAAGTTATTATTAACCTTTTCCATATTTCTGTGCAGCGGATTATTATTTTAATTATTATTAATTTGTAGAATATAATATATATTATTTGTAGACTATAATATATATGTTATTATTTAATATTATTTGTATATAATAAAATTTTTTTGTGACTAAGTTTATAATTTTAAAATTATATAAATATCTATGGTTAATAATACAAATAACAAATATAGTAAGTGTTTTTTATTATTTTATAATTAATACATTGAATAATAATTATAATAAAAAAATAATATATGGTTAGAATATTTTAATTTAATCTTTTTAATTATAAATAATTAATTAATTATATAACCTTTTTGAAATTATAAATTTATTATTATTTTTTTTAAAAAATGGAGATAATTATTAAATTTTAATAATTAATTTTATTAATAATATAAAAATCATAATCTTTTCTTTCATTTTTACTAATAATATAAAAATCATAATCTTTCATTTTTACAATTATATTTACAATGATATAATAATATCAATATATTAAATATATATTCTTTGAAATTAATCTCGCATAAAGCATAATTAAAATTATTACATTTTTTTATTTTTTCATTAATATCATATAAATAAAAAGTATTATTAAATAATTAAAATTTTTATTCCAAATAATAATAATAACAACAATAATAACAATAATAACAATAATAATTATAACGAAATCTGTTTTCATATAATGAAAATATTTTTAATACATCATTTTGCAATTCAATTTATAATTAATTAAAATTATTAGAATTAAAATAAAAAACTAATAATATAAACAGTAATTAATAAAAATTTAATCAGTTATTATATTGAATATAATAACATAATATACAATGACCAGCAATTTCAGAAAAGCCTATTATGGTTCACTAGGAGTACAAGTTGTAGAAATTAAACCTTCAGTAGAATCTGCTTTATCAGATGATGAATTAGGTTTATTATTATATTTATATATTTTAAAAGGAAGAAATATTTTCGAAACGAACAATTTTTTTTTTTTCTTTACAAATTTACAATTATTCAATTTTAATAATATATAAATAGATTATTAATTATTAATTAATTTAATTTATTACAATTATAAATTATGAATAACAAAGATCTTGAAAAATTAAGCAAACTTTGTTTATGGGTACGAATTCCACATTCTTATCGTTCTACTGTTTGGAAAATTTTATTAGGTAATTATAAGAATTAATTTTTTATAATAATAATAATAATAGCAACAACATCAATATTATTATTATTATTATTATTATCGATTATGATTATTATGTTACAATATTAGAAAATATTTTTTTATTTTATATCAATAATTAATTTAATTATTATTATTATATTATTATTATTTTTTTTATTTTCAAAAATTATAATTTTTATTATTTATTTGTAAAAATATATTTTTTAAAAAAAATTTAAAAGGTGTACTACCGACATATAAATTTACATGGGAATTTGCAGAAAAACAAAGAAAAGAACAATATGAAGATTTAAAGAAAACAATAGCATATATATTTCCAGATAAATATAATCAAGAAATGTATATTTAAACTTTTTTTAATTATTTATTATAAAATGTTTAATAATGAAATTTTTTAATGAAATTAAATGAAATTTATTTGATTTTAAAATTTAAAAATTGAAATTTGGAATTTATATATAATAATACAGAAAAGATGAAGAAGTAACACCAGAAATACTGATTCAAATGATGATTATTTATTATTTATCAAAATCTCCAACAAAAATAATAAAGGTATATAATGAAATAATATAAATAATATTTTTTAAAATTTAATTTTAAATATAGTTTTAATAATGTATGATATATATTAATTATTATATATTTTTTCTAATATTTTTTATTTTAAAAAAAAAAAAAAAAGATATCAGATTACCATGTAAATAAAGCATATCTTTCAATGGCAAAAGCTTTTTTAGAAATTTGTGATAATAATGCAATAGATGCTTTTTGGAATATTACTTTTTTCTTTCGGTTACTAGCCATTGCGCAAGATGATATGTCATGGATTTTTGAAGAAGAAACTGTTGTAAGTATTTTTAACTAATATTTATTGAATATATAAATATATATATAAATATATATATTTTCCATAATTTTTAATTTTTTTTATTGTTATTTTTGTTAATATTTTGTTAACATTTATTTATTACTATACATATTTAATAATGGTTAGCAACAACCAACTCTTATATCAGATGTCATTGTACTTGACAAACTTATTCATACCAGAGAACCCTCTCTTTGGAGGCATTTTCAAAAATTAAATGTTCAACTCGATAATATTTATGCAAAGTAAGTCATTATAATATATAAAATTGTCATTAATAACGAAATAAAAAATATAATCGAAATAAAAAAACAAAATATATTTAATTATTTTTATAATTATAACTTTTTTTTTTATTCATTAGATGGTCTCAAAGTTGTTATGCCGATATTTTACCAAATCATTGTTTGGAAAGGTATTTATTTATCTATAATAATTACTATATATATGAAATATTAATTTATTTTTATTTTGTTATTGTTATTATTTGATATTAGAATATGGGATATTATGATAGGAGGTTCTCAAACAATTCTAATTTATATAGCGTTAGGTATTATTACCTCTTGTAAAAATGAATTAAAAAATATAACATCTGCTAATGAAGTAGAAAGTGCTTTAAATAAAGTAAGTGTTTTTATATAAATAAAAAAATAAATAAATAAATAAATAAATAAATAAATAAATAAATAAATAAATAAATAAATAAATAAATAAATAAATAAATAAATAAATAAATAAATAAATAAATAAATAAATAAATAAATAAATAAATAAATAAATAAATAAATAAATAAATAAATAAATAAATAAAAATAAATAAATAAATAAATAAATAAATAAATAAATAAATAAATAAATAAATAAATTAATAAATATATAAATATATATAAATATATTAATTAATTTATTAATTAATTATAATTTAATAATACACTTTAATTATAGCAAATGAACTATTTAGATTTTGATGTAGTAACAACAAAGTCTATTTTTTTATGGTATTTTATTATTCTTATTTTAATTATTAATTATTAATAATTATTATTATTTAATTTATTAATTGTTTTTTTATTTTATTTTATTTTATTTTATTTTATTTTATTTTTTTTGTATTTGTTTTATTATGGAAATATTTAGGGAAAGAAGTCATCCTGGATTTGTTTCTAATCAAACTATCGAATAAAATAAATAATTTATTTATTTAAATATTAATATTAAAAGAATTAGTATCAAAATATAATAGTTATAAAAATGTGAAAAAACAAAACAAAATAAAACAGTAATTTCACTAATAAATTATGAAAATTAAATTTAAATAAAAACAATAACATAAATATAAATAAATACAAAAACAAGAAGCAAATAGCAAAAAGCAAGTAGCAAAAGGCAAAAGCAAAAAGCAAAAACAGTAAGAAAAAAAGCAATTAAAAAACAAAAATCAAGTTAAAATAAAAATGAAAATAAAAGCAAAAAATAAAAATAAAAAGATTAAAATTATGAAAAATATGTTATTAATAAAAATAAAAACTAAAATAAAAACGAAAATAAAAACTAAAATGAAAATAAAAATGAAAATAAAAAAGAAATAATAATAATAAAAAAAAGAATAAAACATAAATTAAATTTATAACATAAATATAAATCATAAGAACATAAAACTACAATACTATAAATAATATAAAAACATAAAAACATAAAAACAAAAAAACATAAAAACATAAAAACATAAAACATAAAAACATAAAAACATAAAACATAAAAACATAAAAACATAAAACATAAAAACATAAAAACATAAAAACGTAAAAACATACAACATAAAACATAAAACATAAAACATAAAAACATAAAACATAAAAACATAAAACATAAAACATAAAACATAAAAACATAAAACATAAAACATAAAACATAAAACATAAAACATAAAACATAAAACATAAAACAAAAACATAAAGTAAAGCATAAATTATAAAAACAAAAAACAAAAACGAAAGCGAAAAACAAAAAACGAAAAACAAAACGAAATAAACGTAGTGAAATAATCACAAAACAAAATATAAATAATACAATATAATATATATAATATTGTAAAAAGTTAATAAAATTAAATAAAGTTAATTTTAATATAATAAATAAAAAAATTAAGAGTTTTGCTAATTAAATATATATATATATATATATATTTTTTTTTTTTTTTTTTTTTTTTATTTTAATTTAAATTTTATTAAATTTTTTATAATTTTATAACAGAAAGTGAAGTGTATTAAAGAGTTTAATCAAAGTAAAATGTTAAAAATATTTAGTAGATTTTTCATTTTTGTTTAAATAATTATAAAATTATAACTAAATTGTATAAATATTATAAACCTATAATTATTTAAACAAAAGTGCAATCTATTAATATATCAATTTTATGTTGTATCAAGTCAACAATTTTATTTATCCTTAATTATATAGATTCAATTATTAATAATTTTAAATAATTAAATAATTATGAAAAATAGAAAGAGTATTATATAATTTTGAGATATAAATATAAATATAAGTTTTTTTTTAAATATAATTAATAAAATAGTTATTATTATAATTACTATTATTATTATTTTTTTTTTAGTTTATTATATTTATCAATGAGCTTATTAATTTATTTAAATTTTTTTTTTTTTTTTAGATATATTTAAAATATTGATGAAGAAATATGTTATTAAATTATTAAAAAATTTGGGAATTTTTTTTAAAAAACATTTCTTTCTGGGATTGAATGTACAAAAAAAAAAAAAAAAATTAATTAAAATCGGGTTTTTAAATATAAAAAAATTTTTTAAAATGGCAAAATAGGCAAATAATATTTTTATAGCGCAAAACCGCCGAAAAAAGTAACTTAGCTCCTGTAGCAAAGTCGGTTAATGCGTCGTGCTTATAGGGGTGTTCCTTCTATGCAACGCGAAGGTCGTGAGTTCGAACCTCACCAGGAGCATTTTTAATTTTTTTTATTTTTGATAAAAAATTTAATTTTATTTTTTGAAACTTTAAACTTTAATTAATATTATTTTTTAAGTATAGTAGTAGTTTTTTGAATATAAATGTAGAAAATAAAATTATTTTTTTCATATTCTTTTTTATAGAGAAATAAAAGTAAAAAAAAAAAAAAAAATATATGTAAAAATATTATCATATTAAAAATAAAATAAGGAAGAAAAAGAATAAGAAAATAATAATAAGAAAAGTAGTTAATTTTAAAGAGTAAATCTATTACTATTTAAGTATTTAAAAAAAAATAACATAAGTATTTAATTAGAGAATCTTATACTTGAAATAAAAAATAAAAAAGAAGAAAAAAATGTATAGAATAAGACCGATAGAAGAAAATTTTAATTTTGATGATGATGACGATGATTATATTGATAACACTAAAGTTTATACAAAATTAAGGATTGGATGGAGAATTGTAATTTTTTTTATTGATATATTGTTTTATTCTATTATTTTTATTGGTTTATTAATTAATATTATTTTATCATCATTCCTTTGAATTTTATTACTGCTATTACTATTATTGATATTACTTTATTATTATGGCTAATTTGTTATTGACAACAAAAGAATAGTGTTTTCAATCGTATAAGTATATTATCCACATTTCAATCAAGTTTTTTAAAATTCGGTATTATATCACTAATCATCACTGGTAATTATTTTTTTTTTTTTTTTTTTTTTTTTTTTTTTTTTTTTTTTTTTTTTTTTTTTTATTGTTATTATGTTTTTATATTTTATTTTGTTTTATAATATATGATATATTGTAATTATAATTTGAATTATAATCATAATTAATAAATTCTTTATTGACAATATTTTTTTTCTTTCTTTCTAAATATAAATATATACATATAACAAATATACAGAGATACAGTTTTTTTTTTATATATATAATACTTCTTTGATGCATGATATGCCTGAAGCAATATCATTTTTTTTTCGCATTTTAGTACTTAAATTCAATAATCCAATATATGAAGGTAGATATAAAATACATGTTTAAATGAAATGTATTATATAGATATGATCATTCCTAATATTATTAAATATTTAATAAAAATTATTTTTTTTATAATAATAATAAATTTATTATAATATTAGTTTTATTTCTTGTTTTATTATTTATTTGCATTATATTCTTATTCATTTGTCTTTGTAAGTAATATTTCTTAATATATATATATCTATTGAAAAAAAAGTATTTATTGTATATATAAAATAAATAATTTATGATTCATCTTGTATTAATATTAAATATATTGTTAGTTTTTGATTTTCTAAAATCAAGGGATTCATTAAAGTACGTATATTACAGTTTATGAAAAACAAAAAATATTTATCATAAAGTTTATATATAAATAATTTAACATATTTTTCATTCTTTTATTATTATTATTATTATTATTATTATAGGGAATTACCAAAACAATTAGAACTTGTAATAAAAAATATTATATATATAAGAATTTTTATTATTTTATTAAGATAAAAACAAAAAATAAAAGAAAATATATTAAAATTAATATATAATACATTTATATATAAAGATAGCATCATTTTTATCTTTTTTCATATTTGGGTATATATAAAATTATAAATTTAATAATATTAATATTATTTAACAATCTACTAATATTTACTTATTCATCTATAGCATTTTTTCTTTTCCAGGTATTATTATTATTAATTTTTTTTAAATTATTTGTATAATATAAAATAAAATAAAATAAAAGCAAAATATTATATATATACATATATATATTTGAAATTAATTTAAAAAACCTTTTTTAATATTTTAATTATATAGTACTGTTCAGTTTATTTAATATTTTTGAATGTAATAAAGATGGTGAAGAAAGTGTATATTCTCTTAAATATTTTTCAACATTTCATTTAATCATGTATGAATAAAAAAATATTTTTTTATATTAAATTATTATAATAACTTTTCATTATACTTTAAATATTAACTAACTAAATAATATAATATTATTTTTTATTTATTTATAGAATTTTCTTTTCATTTATTAGCTTTATTGCTTTATTTTTGTATTCATATGTTGTATGTATAAATTTATCCATGTAAATTATTATTATTATTGTTATAATTACTATAATTATTGTATAAGTTTATAATAATAATAATAATAATAATAATAATAATAATAATAATAATAATAATAATAATAATAATAATAATAATAATAATAATAATAATAATAATAATAATAATAATAATAATAATAATAATAATAATAATAATAATAATAATAATAATAATAATAATTAATAATAATAATAATTAATAATAATAACTAATAAATAACTAATATATTAAATTATATATATATATATATATATATAATTTATATAGTATTTTAAATATATGGTCAATTTTGTTCCAACAAATAACTTCAGATTTTCAATGAATAAATATAATGGATATGAAGAATATATAGAATTTCTTGGAAAAATAATATTGGTAATTAAAATATATATATTCAATAATTTTTTCTTTATATTAATTATCTTCTTCTTATTATATCAAAGGTTTTAAATACATTTATTATTTCGGAATTTTTTGATAAAAAAGTGATTGAAGTTGGTATTACTGCTGCCGTTGCTATTTTTTTAACATGGAGACAGTTGATAAAACAACCGTATTATTGTAATAAATGTAATAATTACAAAAATACTATCAAAACTGGAACTTCATTTGGTGCTGTAACATTATTTATATTAGAGCTTTTTAAAATAAATGATAAAATCTTTTCATTTTATATAGTTTTAGCTGTTCAATTTATTGCATCTATTTTTGGATTTTATTTAGGAGAATTTATCAGGAAGAAAAAAGCAAATACTGTATATATGAATCTTAAAAAAAAATATTCAGAGGTTAATTCAAAACGTGAAGCTTATACTCCCATCAATGATGATGAAGAGATTCGATCCAATTTATCAATGGAAAGAATTGGTATATATATATATATTTTTATATTTATTTTTTTAAAATTAAAATAATTATTTAAACAAAATGATTCTAAAAATATATTTATATATTAATAATCTTAATAGTTAATGATACTTATTTAGTTAAAAGAGACCATATTTTTAATAATATTGATGATTGTATACACGCATGTGATTTCATAAAGTAATTTGATTTATATTTATTAATATAATATATATATATATTATATTGATAAATATTAAAAAATTATTTTTTTATTATTATACTATATTAATATGAAGGTATAATCATGAAATAAGGTCATTCTTTTTAGCTGCAAAAATACTTGATGAATGGTAAATATTATCTTTTAATAATAAATATAAATAGTAAATATAATTTATTATTATTATTACTATTGATATTTTTGAATATTAAAATTAAATATATTATTTATTTTTATATACTTAATAGTGCAATTCAATATAAAAAAAATCCAATGGTATTATAAAAAATAATATAATATTACATTTTTATATTATAAATTATTATAAATTATAATAATAATATATATATATATGATACATTTTTTTATTTTTAATAGGTTTATATATATTATTGGCTTTTTTTAAATACTATGACTATGGCTATGAAAAATAATATTGAATTATATCAATATGAAGATTGTATAAAACAAATTGAACTTTTTGAAAGAATTCAAAATAATATTTTAAGAAAAGTTATAAGATTAGAAAATTCAGTGTTTTCTAAATATCTTGTGTATTATATATTAATTATTAGAACAAATAATAGTAAAGATGAATTATCTGATGATGGGGAAAACAAAGATAAAAAGTAATGAAATTAAGTAAAAAAATTAATATATATATATATATATAATCTTAGTTATAACTAAATTACTAAATATTAATAAAATATTATATTATATTTATATATAATTAATAAATAAAAAAAAAAACTTTTTTTTCTAATTTTTAGTCTAAATTTTCATGAGAATGAATTGAAAAAACGTACAATCAATTTACATGTTAATACATTAAATGAAATTACTAATACATTTAAAGATTTAAGATCAATTAATTCTAAAGATGATGTTCATAATTCTGTAAATAATATTATGAGTTTAACCAAACGTATTTATGAAACTGAAGATAGTTATAAAACATATATACAAGCATGTTATATGTCTTCAGATTCATTATTACTATATAATTTGTTTTTAGAAAATATAATGGTAATTGTAAAAACGATATAAATTATATAATTATTCTATTAATATTAATAAATATTTAATTTTTCTTTTAAATACTTTTTATTAAATCATCAGATTGATTATTACGCAGTAGTAAGTTTAATAGATTTCTTATCCAACTATAATATTTTTTTAATATTAATAATAGTACTAAAGAATTATAAATTATATTAATCAATATTATAATAATAATAATGATTCCAATTTTTATAGTCATTTTACATGAAAGTTATGGAAGAAAATAAGGTATTAACATATATTGTTATTATAATTATTATTTTTAAATTTATTTTTATATAATTTTCAATAGAGATCTAAAAAAAATATTATTAATATGAATAATATTTATGTATTCATATAAATAGGAAAAAAAAAAGAAACAAAGTTTGAATAGAGCATCACTTATGAGACAGTCTAGAAGCAGATCAATGTCAGAAAATGTTGAAGTTGAAAAACTTGAAGAAAGTAAAAAAAAAAATCAAAATAATGCTGCTCTTAAAAAAGAAAAAAAGAAACAAAATGAAAACAAGTAATATTTTTTTAATTAATTAATAAATAAATAAAAAAAATAAAAAATTAAACAAAAAATTAAATAAATATAAATAATTATAATAATTATTATTATTTATTACATATGTTTAAATTAATTAAATACTAATTTAGGGAAAGAATACTTGGTAGACTGCAAAAACCTGTTAATAAATTTTCATTTTTAATG